GGGCTGTAATGGGACTGAGGTGAATGTATGAATAAAATATGGAAAAGAAGATTCAACACCCCAGAAATCTACAAGAGCAAAAGTTAAGAACGACACTAAGAAAATAAAACAAAGATAATGAAAAGATAGAAATAAACATTTTTTTTTTTGCTTTTTCTCTTCTTTTTTTTGCTTTTTTTTTTTTGCTTTTTTTTTTTGAATCAATACAGTAAAACACATAGCAGAAAAGAATCAGATGGTCACCCCCCACACTTAAATTTTTGTACGTCTCGGGCAAACCCCCACACTTAAACACAACATCACAGTGAAAACCAATGCTCAGTAAATCTCCAGGGTGTTGAATTAATTAGTTTTTTCACTTAGGCAAGTAAAGTGGCTTAAGAAACAAAGGATATAAAGGCTCAAAGGGGCTCACCAAGGGATAATAATGTAAGGGATGGCTATCTGGCTAAAGGAAAAAATAAAAGAAAAAATGCCTCTATCATATTCATTCATGTAAATGAAAAATGCAGCTTCAAAAAGAACAAGATCAAGTTCTAGAGAATAAAGATCATGAGCAGAAACACACAAGAAAGAGAGAATGACAAAAGATGTAATCCATTCATAAAGACCCAAAATCTCACAAGGGTAAAACCAAATTACGCAATCAGCATAACAATATCAGTCAACAAGTAATATAATCCAAGAGTCAAGAATTAAGCCTGATCAGAATAATCTATCAAAAGAAATATGTCCAAGTTCATTCCATGTATACCTTAACAATTATCAGAAAGAAAAGGAAAATCCACTTATTGACAATTAAAGTTAAAATAAAAAATGCAAAGAAAAAGGAAATAAAGAAAAATGAAAAGAAGACTCCATATCCTCCTTAGGGAAGGTAAGTGGCATCAGTGAGCCTGATTAGTGTCTCCACAAGCTGCTGGAGTCCCTCATAAAAAGGCTTGAAGCAATGTCCATCCGCATGTGAAAATCCTCTCAGTCTGCTTATCACACCACTCCCTATGATTAATTTTCTGCATAATTGAAACAAAAGGAGGAAGAGGGTAAAGAACGATAGAGAACGATGCAAACTCCCTAAGAGACGACTTAGGTTGACGTTTTACTACAAATTTTTAATAAACCTAATTTAATTAATTTGCGCGAGTTCGACAGCTCGTGTCAAATTTGGCGTCGTTGCTATTTCATCAACTAAAGCCCAATTCGGACGAGAAGATTGTCGAAACCTGAGCCCAAGATGGACGTGTTTTGCTGGAAATTTATTTTGACATTTGAACTTAAGTTATAATTTTGAACCCAATGTACATGAGACCCAGAGCCATTATTTATGTTTTGTTTCCTTTTATTTTGGGTTGGATTTGTAGAGCCCGAAGCCCAGCTTGATTAGGGGTTAAAAGGGCGAGAGTAAGGACCTTGGGAAGAATCTTTTGTTTGAGTTTGAATTATACAGTTTTGAAATTAATATAATTTTCGTCTCTTTTCTCTCCTCTTTTCTTTAATCAACCCAAGGGTTGAGGATTCCATAGTTGAATCTTGAGGACCTGCGCCTCATTTTGAACCAAATATGTTTCTCTTTCCAGCTCGGTTTGGCATCGCGCGATTGTGGGTGTTCAATCTGAGATACGCGATTGCGTTCTTAGGAAAGAGATTAACCATTAGATTTAATGGTTAGGTTGATTAACCCAATGAACTCAAGTCGAACGGGTTGATACTCCGCGATTGCTCGAGTAGACGCGCCGTATTCGACCAAACGCTAAGCGATCGCTTAGAGAGGGTTCTCAATTGGAAATAAGGATTCTGAATCAATTGAGATCAATCACGATTTGGTAATTATTTGTCCAATGATGGATATCCACATTAAATAAATATTCTAAATCTCTAAGGAAGAAGGATTACCGGATTTAAATTTAAATTATGTTTGTGAGAACAAAATATATCAAATGAGATGTCATTGCGTAGATCTCGAAAAGTTATGTGGAATCAAAAAAAGAATGACCTGAATTGGATATCTAAGTCAAAAGTTATGGCCTTCAGAAGTTTTATGATTAAATTATTATTTTTTTTGAAAAAAAATGACACGTGTCAACACCTCATGAGAGACGCCCCATTGGGGCGTCTTCCCTTTGGTGAGAGACGCCTAAAAGAGGCGTCACATGTGACACCCAAAAAAGGCGTCACATTGTGCAATAGATCCGTAATTATTTTCAAAACTGCAATAAATACGTAATTATTTAATTAAAATACAATAATTAATTTTTTTTGCCTTCATGAACATGATAGGAATAAAGAGGATAAGAGTGCCAAATAAGAGTACGATAAGATATCGGACTGATAAGCTCATATTTTATTATGTGTTTAATGTGCAGTAGATAAACAATCTGATGATAAGATAATATTATCATATCCGGTGTTTGAGACAAATCTATAGTGTCATGTAGGGGTGAAACTGGGCCGGGCCAGCCCACAGGGGCCTACGGCTCGGCCTACGTCAGGCCAGACCTGACCTAGTATATTTCGTAAAATAGGTCGAACTTGGGCTTTGAAAAAACTTGTTTATTAAAAAGGCCGTAGGCCCACTTTCACAAGGCCTGGCCTATAAGCCTACAGACCGACCTATATTGTACTATTTATTTTAAATAAAATAAAATAGAATAAGTATGGCTTGAAAAAAAAACAAAAGATATAAATTTAATCAATTGTAATTATTTATAACTTAATTATATTTGATTATATTTTAATAGAAATCTAACTTTATTTCTTATTAAGGAGGAACCAACATATCAAAATGTTAAATTGTGTATATGAATATATTAAAAAGTTTTTGGGAGAGATTATACTTACTACAAACATCATGATGTGTTGTTGGATTCATGTAATTATTTTAATTTATATAGTATGGATTTGTTTGTTGGATCTGATGAAATGTTTGTTATTTAGTTTGAGCATTTTGCTTTTGAAAATGGCTTAAATGCAGATTGTATGAATTTTGCTGTGATTCATGATTCTGTTTGGACGTTGAAATTATGATTTTTAGTTTAACAACATAATTTGAGTATTTTGTAAAGTTGATTCATGGTTCTGTTTGAAAGTTAAAAATTAACAGGTTAATGGGCTAGGCCAGGCTATTCATTTTTTTTTATAAACGGGTCAAGTCAGGCTAACAGTTAGACTCGTAATAGGCTTGGGCCAGGCCATATTAAAATTTTTTTGACGTAGGCTTGGGCTTTTCGGGGCAAAGCTTGGCCCAACCCAGTCCACTTTCACCCCTAGTTACAACCTTCTCACTTAAATTTAATTTATAAATATTTTCTAGTCCCAAATTTGGGAGGAGCAATATTTTTTTTTTTTGGAAATAAGAGGAGGAGCAATATTTTAGGATTGATGGTATAACTCATTCCTCGTTGCTCCCATTTCCATCATTAATAATCTACAATTGAATATTACCCCAAACCAAATGAAAAATAGGTGCAAAACTAATTTCCCTAAGTAATTGGAGTCATATACTTCATACTTCGTCTCAGAAATAAATAAAATGTTGTACATGCTCGGTTGAACACCGCATGTGAGAAACAATTTTAGACGTAAAATGCAGAAGCTTATGCTAAGATCCAGGGATAAATTTAAGCTCAAATCGTACACTGGAATGTATTATAAATATTCACATCCAATTAATCAGTTTTTTTATTTTAATTATAAATTTAATTATATATAATTTAGCCCCTTATATAAAAAAAAGAGAATAATATTTCTACAATTACGGAAGATAAGTTATCTGCATTTATTCTTAAAACGACATCATTTTGAGATTGAAAAATTAAATAATTATAATTACAAAGATTATAATAACCCTGAAATATATCAAAATTATAAAAATACCATGATTTTCGCCCTAAAACGACGTCGTATTATACTTACTGTAGATAACTTATCTGTATTAACTGTAGAAAAATCGAACTAAAAAACTCTGCCATTTCTTAATAATTAATAGATTAATAAAAAGTAAGTATCACAATTAATAACCTCCCTTTCTCTCTCTCTCTATATATCTATATATATATATATGTGTGTTTGTGTGGTGAAGGTTATTAACATAGGGAGTCTTTATTTTTCTCACTATATATATTTGTGTGTTTGTGTGATGGAGGTTATTAATACAGGCGGTCTTTGTTTTTCTCTCTATAAATATATAGAGAGAGAGAAAAACAAAGACTCCCTTTATTAATAACCTTCATCACACAAACACAAATATATATAGTGAGAAAAATAAAGACTCCCTATATTAATAACTTTCACCACACAAAAACACTCATATATATATATATAGAGGTAGTATTCTTAATTTTAACACTTCATCTCAGAATCGTTAGATAAAAAAGATAAAAATCAATGGTGTCACATGCTTACAAATCAGAGTCATTGATTTTTTTTATCTAACGGTTCTGAAATGAGGTGTCAAAATTAAAATTTGACATCAATGTCAAAGGATCCTACCTCATATATATATATATATATATATATATATATATATATATATATATATATATATATTTTGAATCCTGTGTAAAGTTTAAAAATCTTACTCTCCATTCAAATCGTTAATTTTCGTCCTTGTAACAATTGTCATTTATTTGAAATTAATTAATTAACTCAATAAATGACAACCATTATATGGCATAAATCAATGGTTAGGACATCAAGTAAGATTTATAAGTGTTGTCAAAAGCTTCTTCTTCTATATATATATATATATATATATATATATATATATTTAATATTTCTATAAATTATGTACTTTTAAAATGACATCGTTTTAGATTAAAAAATTAAAATTAAAAAAATGTAATTCAATGAAAAAGTGGTTGGAAACTGAGTGTGGACCGTGGCAGAGCGAATGGCGGTTGTTCCACACGCCAAATTTGACCAAATAGACAGACAGGACAGCTATAAGCAAGTGTAATGGGCGGTTCAATTTCTTGACGAGGGTCCAAAAAGAGCTGAAGGGAGGGGAATTCTCTCCTCCGAGCAAGAACAGCCGATAAACCTGGTCTTTCAATTTCACATTCTCGGTAAAGTTGCCTTCCTTCTCTTTTATTTTGATCCTGCTCTTCTCTTTTATATGCTTCTGAAATTCATTGCTGATTTCTACTTAATATGAATGCCTTATTGATCACAATACTTGGTTTTCTTTGAGTTTCACCGGAATTCAGATTCAGCTGAATGAAACTCTCTTTTATTGAACTTAACACATGTGAAAACACACCCAGCTCCTCATTATTCATGAGGATAGCACTGGATAAGAAACGATATAGATATTGGATTCCTATGTTTACATGCACATCATTTAGTCATAAAATGTTATGTAGAAACCCATGCTTTAAAAAATAACAGTAGCAAGCAAGATCTTCATTTGCAAAATGGTGCGCCTGGACGGACACCGCGACCTGAATCCTCGTACTTTTTCCATTGAGTCGAATTTGCTTGCAGATTTAAGGATGATAGGGTCTAGCCTAGGTTTTGATTTGAAACACGGAACTTGTTTGGTGCCTCCATTTTGGGTTTATGCAATTAAAGGGAAGAAAGGAGGTTATTCTTTGACTTTTAAAATTAATGCGGGGTGAAAGTGGATGGATTAGGCCAACCAGCTTAATTTTTCTCTTTCTTAGTTGGGCTTGGGATAATATATTTTACTTAAAAATAGTTTAAAGTTTAAACCTTTTGTTAATGGCCATGTTAAATTAATTTAATAGATAGATAATATGAAGTAATAATAAATGATAGATTTTTAATAGGAAATATAAATATATATATATATATATATATATATATATATATATATATATATATATATAGAGGTAGGATCCTTTGACACCAGTGTCAAATTTGAAGTTTGACACCTCATATGAGAGCAGTTAGATCAAAGAAGATCAACGACTCTGATTTGTAAGCATATAATACCATTGATCTTTTTTGATCTAACGACTCTCAGATGAGGTGTCAAACTTCAAATTTGACACCGGTGTCAAAGGATCCTATATATATATATATATATATATATATATATATATATATATATATATATATATATATATAAGATTCCTTGACACTTGTGTCAAAATTTAAAATTTGACACCAAATCTTAACCGTTGATTTTCGCCAATCAACGGTTATCATTTATTGAGCGTTACCCTTATTAATTAATCATCACTTCCCAATAAATCATACCCGTTGATTGGCGGAAATCAACGGTTAGGATTTGGTGTCAAATTTTAAAGTTTGACACCGGTGTCAAAGGATCATATATATATATATATATATATATATATATATATATATATATATATATATATAGGGGAATGCTACTCTCATTTTACATGACAGTAGCTCTCTCATGTTGCAAAGAAATCATGTGGGACACATCATTAAAAGATAAAAAAAGGAAAAAAAAAGTGGGTGAAATTTTCGATGTGAGACAACATGAGATAACTACCTCATGTAAAATGAGAGTAGTATTTCCCATATATGTATAGCAAAAATCAACACTATGTTTTCTTTCGATTAACGGGCATGATATCTCATTAAAAAGAAATAGAATAAAATTAATTTAATAGATAGATAATATGAATTAATAATAAATGAGAGATTTATAATAGGAAATAAATCTAAAAATATATAGCAAAAATCAACACTGTGTTTTCTTTGGTTAATCGCAATATACTTTGTTGGGCTTGGGATAATATATTTTACTTAAAATAGTTTAAAGTTTAAACATTTTGTTAATGGGCATGTTATGTCATTAAAAATAAATAGAATAAAATTAATTTAATAGATAGATAATATGAATTAATAATAAATGAGAGTTTTGTAATAGGAAATAAATCTAAAAATATATAGCAAAAATCAGTGTTTTCTTTGGTTAATCGAAATATACTTTGTTGGGCTTGGGATAATATGTTTGAGGGAGGTTATTTATGGGAACAAAATATTTTGCGATAATAATATTGTAATTATAAAAATTCATTAATAATATTTTCGTAAATAAATATAATTTCTTTTCAATTGTAGATTTAATTATATTTGAAAAAAAAATTCTGTTATTTTCAAAATTTATATTACAAAACAATTATGAGAATAAAAAAAATCAAGTCCAAACATATCCATAGATTTTTTTTTTTCTAGTTTCATGATTCCTCATGCATAATTAATAATATATTTTTAAAAAAGACTATTTTTAATAAAAAGAGTTTTTTGAATTTTAATTTTTTAATAAAAGTAGTAATGACTCAATTTTTTATTTTATTTTATTTATTTATTTAGGTTTCGTGGCGATCTAAATCTGAAAATTTGCATTTCTTAAAATGTAATTAAACCCCTATAAATGGGAGTGGATCGTCTCATATGGAAAAATGGTCATGTTGTCATGTTATTTGATCATAATCACTCATTGATGATGAAATAAAAGAGAGAAAAGTGTATAATTGGTCATGTGGTCATGTTATTTGATCATAATCACTCGTTGATGATGAAATAAGAGAGAAAAAATTGTATAATTTTTAAATAAGAGTTTGTGATCAAATAATATGAGCACATCATCATCACTGGATAATAGAATTCACCCCTATAAATACCCTCCATTTTCAACCCAAGAATTGATTTGTCTCAATATCGCTCACTGGTCAGCTTGCCTGGTCCGTATAATTAATTGCACTGACACGTTTCTATCGGGTACGTTTTTTTAAGTTCATCATATATTTGTGAATCCAACTCAACCCAGAGAGTTGGGACGAATAAAACAAGATTATTATCAATAGTCGCTCAGTTATATTATATCTGCTATCTCTGGTCCGTAAAAGATGGTTGGAAACGCTTCCAGACACCCTCCTCGGAATTTCGAAATCGAGGAACACACTAGAGATGGTGTCTCTTCACAAACTGACTCCAAATGCTATGACGATGATGGTCGTCTCAAACGAACAGGTACACATTAATTTATATAATATATCATTTTTTAACATTAACTTTGTTTCTTTGATTCTATGGGATGATGATATTTGATGCCTAACTATGGACCAGGAACCGTTTGGACCACAAGCTCGCACATAATAACAGCTGTGGTAGGATCTGGTGTTCTCTCTTTAGCTTGGGCCATAGCTCAGGTTGGATGGGTTGCTGGTCCTATTGTGATGCTCTTCTTCAGTGTCGTCACTTTGTATACTTCATCGCTTCTAGCTGATTGTTATCGTATTGGAGATCCCATTTCCGGAAAGAGAAATTATACATTCATGGATGCAGTTCGCACCATTCTAGGTAACATATATACATATTTCATACAATTATCGCATCGAGATAATTTTATCTTTTATACACATACAAATGTGTGATGTAAAAATGCGTGAAATTTGTACGAAGTCATGTAAAAATAAAAGAGAAAAAAAAAAAATACACGTAAAAACATTTTATGTGTATAATTGACCCTTTAATATATGAGTAGCACCATGTTACACTAAATATTTTTTTGAAATTCAAATAAGAATGACGTGGTTTTGTACTTTACTAATAAAACAATTTCTTTTTGACAATATCACCATGTACCGTGCACCGTCCATTCAAACGTTTTGTTTAAAATGGAAAGCATTAATGCATCATAATGTATTTTGCAGGCGGGTACAAAGCTACGTTTTGTGCGTTGGTTCAGTACTCAAATCTTTATGGCACTGCAATAGGATACACAATTGCTGCTTCCATTAGCATGATGTGAGTTAAACACTTTTAACGTTATCTTTGAAAATTGAAATTATGAAATTTAGAAATTGATTTTATTTATAAACGAAATATATTTAGAAAGTTACAAATTAAGAATTACTTTAATTTTAAAATCGTCTTGATTATAGTTGTAAATATAAATCAGATTTGAATAGATTTCATTTACTTTTTTTGTATTTGAATCGATAATTTTGTTCATATTAATTTGACCATATCAGCAGTTTTAAGGAAAGATAATTTATCTTTAATGTATTTCAATATGGACACGGATTTTATCATTTTTTTAATAATCAATTGCAATTAATTCTGTCATTGAAAAAGTTGCATCTTATTAATTATCATACCGTGGGTGATACAAATTATATAGCACGCGTTTCTAACTTTTAATTAGCTGGTTTCTTATCAATTAAGGCTAAGTAATAAATTCGCATAGACTTAGTACATTTCGAAGAAGTAATTTATTCCTCAACTTTTAGGTTAAGTTTATTTCTTTTTAAATTTTTTTGAATCCAAATAGTTTAAATAAAACTGTTAATTGAAATTTTTTAAAGTACAAAATAAATTAACCATGACATGTTAAGTGACTTTTTTTTTATTACATTAACCATTTAACCTACATAATTTTATTTTATATTCGATTTTTCAAAAAATTTAATAACAAATAAATTTAACTTATTATTAACAAAATGTTATTTTTTATAAAAATATCTTCAATACCGTAATTACTGCTTCTCAAAATAATATTGTATTTTATAGTTAATAGTAATATCAATGACCTCTTAATGATATTATTATCTAGTTTGATTGTGGCTGAGGGGTTTGTTTAAATTTAACTGGTTTTGGTTGACAGGGCAATAAAAAGGTCAAACTGTTTCCATTCCTCAGGCGGAAACAACCCATGTCACATTTCAAGCAACCCATACATGATCGGTTTTGGCGTAATGCAAATTTTCTTTTCTCAAATTCCTGATTTTCATGAAATGTGGTGGCTCTCAATACTTGCAGCAATCATGTCTTTCACCTATTCCACAATTGGTCTCGCTCTTGGAATTGCCAAAGTTGCAGGTTATATATTATTTGTTTCATGCAAGTTCTTTTTATGAAATAATAATAAAAAATCTCAGCTGATTTTTATTTTTTTTAAAACTGGCATGGAACAGAAACGGGTACTTTCAAGGGTAGCCTCACAGGAGTCAGCATTGGAACTGTGACAAAAGCCGAAAAAATATGGGGAATTTTCCAATCTCTTGGTGACACAGCCTTTGCCTATTCATATTCTCAAATTCTCATTGAAATTCAGGTATACTTTTTTTTTCTCTGTTTAGAAAGTATGTTTATCATATAAAGTAAGGAAAATATTATATTTACTATCTTTTTTTCTTACTACTAAATTTTAACCGTTTATTTCCGTCAATCTAACGGTTGTAATTTATGAAGTCATATTTATTAATCAATTGTTAGATTGACGAAAATCAACGATTAAAATTTAGTAAGTAAGAAAAAAAGGTAGTAAATATAACCTAACCCGTAAACTAATATATACTATTGTGACTACACAGGACACAATAAAATCTCCTCCTCCATCTGAAGCAAAAACAATGAAAAAGGCTGCAAAGATAAGTATTGGAGTGACGACAGCATTTTACATGCTTTGTGGCTGCATGGGTTATGCTGCTTTTGGAGACGCAGCACCTGGGAATCTGCTAACTGGATTTGGTTTCTATAACCCATATTGGCTTATTGATATTGCTAATGCTGCTATTGTAATTCACCTTGTGGGAGCATACCAAGTGTATGCCCAACCCCTCTTTGCCGTAATCGAGAAAGGGGCAGCAAAAAGATGGCCCAAAGTTGACACTGAATACAAAATTCCAATTCCTGGTTTACCTCCTTACAATCTAAGCCCATTAAGATTAATTTGGAGAACAGTGTTTGTTATTACAACAACTGTTCTGGCAATGTTAATTCCATTCTTCAATGACGTGTTGGGATTGCTTGGAGCAATGGGGTTTTGGCCTCTTACTGTCTATTTTCCAGTGGAGATGTATATTGCACAGAAGATGATCCCAAAATGGAGTAGAAAATGGATTTATCTGCAAGTGTTTAGTGTTGCATGCCTCATAGTATCAGTTGTGGCTGGTGCTGGCTCAGTGGCCAGTATCGTTCTTGATCTAAAGAAATACAAACCATTCAGCGTAGACTATTAAACCCCCATCCAACATCTATTGCCTCCTTGCGGGTTGTGGGTTGTGATGGTTGTGTTCTCATAATTGGTGCTCAATCAAAATTATCACTTTGGTATATTTAAGAAGAATTGGTTCTTCAAATTAATTGATGTCGAATGCTTTTGAGTTGCTTTTATTCTTCATCTTTTTAAAATAGTTTTTGAGTTTTTGTACAAATTTAGATAAATGATATTAATATTTTTTACTGCTTTGTCTTTATTTTAATTTAAAAAATTTATGTAAATATTTTTATATATATCTCTTAGTCGCGTTGTGTTTCAACTGTGTCATGTTATATCCTAAATTGGAGGAACAATTTTGAAGCCTTGATGGCATAACTCATTCTCCTTTTGCTTCCATTTCTATCATTAAAAGTCTACAATTGAATATTACCCCAAAACATATGAAAGTAATTTCCCTAGGTAATTAGACTTACAGACTTGAAATTTTGTCCTAGCTGCAACGAGTGTGCACCCGATTAATTACACAAGATAGCCTCCAATTTTTGCGCTAAGTGTAAAACTCTATTCAATTTCTTTGAAAATGAAGACTTTCATAGTGTTCTGGCCGGCCCATTTCACAAGCCCACCAGTTGGATCCACTTTTAGATCCTTCTAGAGGGAAACATATTATTCCTCCTCATTCCCATGCATTCTTGCCAACTGCACAATGACAGTCGGGCACCAAGCCTAGCCTTAGTTATTAGGCAGGCTAGGTGGTACAACCACATAACTTCTCTCCCACGCTTGACAGACGGAGACTTTCTCTCCACTCACATTAAGGGGGCATATGATCTTCTTCTCCATTCATGGTGTAACTTTGCACATTTGTGGAGCCACCTTAGCCCCACACACACACACACTTACCCTTTGCAGTATGCTTTCCAGCACCGTAGGAAGCTTCACTAGAGCCTTAATTTTTACTATTGCTACTATAAACACCCTTATATCAACATACTTCACCTTTTATGGGACATATCTATGTACTCCTGCTAGTACATTGGCACGTTTGTGTGAATCTGTAAACTGTGATTAGAGCAAAAATAAGAAAGAAGAGCAAAATGAAAACTAGAGTTCCAGAGTAAAATAAGAAAGAAGAACAAGAAATAAGAGTTCCAGAAAATCAGAAAGAAGAGCACAACGAAAACCAGAGTCCCAGAGCAAAAATAAGAAAGAAGAGCAAGAAATCAGAGTTCCCAAAAATTAAAATGAAATCAACTCCATAATCCATTGACAAAAATAAAAAGCTGATCTGAACACGTTCATCAACCTCCACCAGTCAGATGCATTAATAGGGGCCGCACCGCCTTCAACATGTTCATCCGACCCAACTTCACAAAGAAACAAGCTACAAAACAATAGAAACCAAAATTAAAACAACACTACCCAGCCTAACAAAGTCGTGTGAAGGCTTTGCTAAATAGCTTTTGGTCATCATAACTTATGGGCAGCCTCAAAATATGACTCCACAAGAATTTTGCATATCTCGTGTAACGAAAACCATGAGAACAACCGACCTTAAATATTAGAAATGAAGAATCAAGGCGAAATGAAATCAAGTGTGAACCGACCGCCCCACACTTAACTCCAACCGACCTTCCAACACTCAACTTCAACTGACCGCCCAGCAACTTCTCACACCGCACCCATCATGGGGTCCAACCCTTCGCTAGTTCGCTGATCGTCCTCCTCGCCAGTCCCTCTTTTTCGGTCGATCAATGGATTCCTTAAAAGAGAAATAATGACCCACAAATTTAGGACCAGATGCTTCCATCCTCCCGTCTATTAGAGTCGGCATCCTCGTGTCTATCAGAGTCGACATGCTATTCTTTCCTTCCTCATTGCACATCACCCACAAATTTAGGACCAGACACTTCCATATCTGAGCTCCTAGGTCCGAACTAGAACAACAACACCGCTGCCCTCATCCACCTCAAAGGCTAAATCCGCTCCCAACATGAAGAAGAAAATCACCCCTCTCACCCTTCAACAATGGAGTTCAATGAGATTATTAGCCAAAGCTCAGCATCGGTCGTTCATTGCCTCATGTCTGTCGTTCACCACACCAACCATTAATAGTCTCTTACCGATCGTTCATGACTTTTTACCGATCGCCTCTTGCTGGTCAAGCCTTCAGCATATCCGTCATACTGGGAACTTCCATTCCACCTTTCACCATGCTGATGAAAACTTCAACGGTTTAGCGTATCAAAAAATTCGAGGGAGCGTGCAATCGATGGATGCAAACCTCTTCACGGCGACAACCACTGTCGTTCAACTTATTGAAATACCTCATGTATTAAGTGAATTCAACTTGCTAACTTTTACACGTTGATTATACAATATTTATAGAAGCTCAGAAAACAGAGGATTGAGCTTAACCAATCTAATACTTGAAAACAGAAAAACTAACTTTACAACTATATGCACTTAGTCAGGTACACTCTTTGCTGACGTGGACTTGGACGTGTGAGAAGCTTTATTCTCCAATAGCCCCCCACAAGCTGGGCGATGTATGTCAAGCATCCCCAGCTTGGATACAGCAAGAGAAAACACGCTAGGGCTCAATGGTTTTGTAAACATATCTGCAAGCTGATTACCAGAGTTGATGGGAAGAAGATGCAGAAAACCGGACTGAATCTTGCTACGAGTTACATGACAATCGATTTCAATATGTTTCGATCGTTCATGAAAGGTAGAATTATGAGCAAGGTGAATAGCCGAATGACTATCGCAGTACACAGAAGCTGGGCGAGACCACGAGAGACAAAGGTCTTGAAAAAGAAATTGGACCCACTGGAGCTCGCAGGAGAGGCTAGCAAGAGCTCTATACTCGGCTTCGGAGGAGGAACAACTTATGGTGGTTTGTTTCTTCGAACGCCAAGTAACGAGAGCTGAACCGAGAAATATGCACAAGCCAGTTACTGATTTTCTGGTGTCGGGACAAGTGGCCCAATCAGCATCGGAGAAGGCTTGGACTCGCAAGTCATTATGTGCTGGAAAAAATAAACCACGACCAGGAGCTGTCTTCAAATAGCGTAAAACGCGTTTAGCAGCTGCAAAGTGGGTATCCATTGGAGCTGCCACGTACTGGCTAAGATGATGGACAGCATAACAAATATCTGGGTGAGTATTTGTCAAATACAAAAGACGTCCAATCAAGCGTCTGTAGCAAGTAGGGTCGGAAAGCAGAGCACCTTGTGAACGACAAAGCTTCACAGAAGAATCCATTGGTGAGCTAACTGGTTTACCACCAAGGAGACCCGCATCAGAAATAAGCTCGAGTGCGTATTTTCGTTGGTTAAGAACGATGCCACGAGAGGAGCGGGACACCTCCAGACATAGAAAATATCGAAGCTCACCCAAGTCTTTAATTTTGAATTTATCATCTAGCAACCTCTTTACCCTAGAAATCTCAGAAAGGTCAGTTCCACATAAGACTATGTCGTCAACATAGACAAGCAACACTGTAAATGAAGTTTCAGTTTTAAAGGTAAAAACTGAACTATCAGCTTGTGCTTGTTTATAACCAAGGGAGAATAAGAAAGAGGACAACTTAGCATGCCACTGTCTACTCGCTTGTCGTAAGCCATAAAGTGATTTTTGTAAGCGACACACTTGACCATGTTTCTGCAAATGAAGACCCGGATGAGGCATCATGTAAACTTCTTCATTAAGACCGCCATGAAGGAAGGCGTTATTCACGTCAAGCTGATGAAGAAACCAGCTTTTAGCAGAAGCAACAGCTAGTAAGATGCGAATGGATGAGAGCTTTGCAACCGGACTGAAGGTTTCAAAAAAATCTACACCTTTCGTTTGTGTAAATCCTTTCGCTACTAAACGTGCTTTGTAACGTTCAATGCTTCCATCCGAATGATATTTGATCTTATAAACCCATTTGCATCCAATGGGTTGTTTTCCTTCAGGTAAGTCAACTAAACGCCAAGTCTGGTTCTGTTCTAAGGCATGGAGCTCAGATTCCATTGCCTTACACCAATGATCAGATTTGATGGCTTGAGTAAAAGAACTTGGCTCCACATTAGAGGATATGTTAAAACAGAAATGGGTGTACGTGGGTGAACAGGCGTCATAGGACAGAACATTAGATAAGGGATATTTAGAAGGGGTTGAGGAAAACATACCTTGGCAAAGATTGACATGTTGAGCATTGGATGGGCCACAATGATACTGATCCAGATATTTTGGAGGTACTCTCACTCTGGTTGATCTTCGAGGATGGTGTGAGACAGGTTGTTGTGAGGGTGAAGATTGTGGTGAATCTGTGACAAAAGGGATGGAATGGGATTGCTGTGGTGGGGAAGGTTGCTCTTGGGTATGTGATGGCAGGGTGCAATATGGCTGTGTAGACAAAATGGTTGGTGGAAGGTAACTGTCAAACTCAATGGGTAGTGTTTCAACGACCGGTGTTGGTTCAAGGTTGGTCGTTTGAGGTGAGGTTTCAGAAAAATATTGTGAAAAGGGAAATGGCTTTCATAAAATATGGTATTTCTGGAAATGAAAATATTTCTGGAATTAAGGTCATAGAGCAAGTCACCTTTCAAACCTGCCTTATGTCCAAGATAGACTGCCTTTCGAGCTCTATGAGAAAATTTTGTGCGCTGATTATGCAAAGTTGAAGCATATACTAAGCAGCCAAAGACTCGCAGATGCATTAGAGCTGGAGGCATGTGATACAAAAGCTCATAAGGTGTTTTATGGTTTAAGAGGGGTGTACAGGTGTGGTTAATTAAGTGAACTGCATGAGTAATGGCATAATTCCAAAGTTGAATTGGTATTTTCGATTGAATTAACAATGCACGAGCCACATTCAAAACATGTTGATGTTTGCGCTCTACCCTTCCATTTTGTTGTGGGCACTCTACACAACTTCGTTGATGGATGATTCCCTTTTTAAGGTAGAAATCTGACATGAGAAACTCATTACCATTATCACTTCTAATGGTGTTGATTGGAGTTTGGAATTGATTTTCAGCATATGCAGTAAAATGCTGTAAGTGAGTTCTTGTCTCAGCTTTGGTTTTCATCATCATAATCCAAGTAAATCTTGAAAAGTCATCGACAATAGTAAGAAAATA